AAAACGATTGGCAGACGTTGTTGTCATATAAGCTGAAATGAATTATATTGATAGTAAGCTCTATAGTTTGTGATTTATGAGATGATTTATGAGAATGCTCCGGAGTATTTCAGAACTTCGCTGCCGAATTTCGGAGTTTTCTGCACAATAGAGAGTTCTGGCTGTCTTGTGCTTTATTTTGATGTTCTACCTGTATATTCCCCAAGTTCAAAACTCAGAAAAAATCTCATTTAAATGATTTTGCATGTATAAAAAGTGATGAAAACTATAGTATTTCTGCCTGATGAAGAATAAAATTGATATAATTAAGTCGACTTGTAATATTCAATTCAAACGTGTAATTCGATAAATTATTTATGAATATAAACCTTCATAGTTCATTTAAATCATCTATTGTTTTTATCTTTTTCTTTTCGAATTCAACTGTTGAGCGAACAAGCATTAGTATCCGATTCAAATTATAGATAAGAAAAACTATTTTAAATTTAAATTAGATAAGAACGTAAAACAATGTGTAACGAAATCAAAATTATACTCGTAGCTTTTTTTATCAGAAGAACAAAATATGAAGTGATATGTACTCTCTGAGAATGACTTAAAAATTTAATATGTAATAAAATCAGTGTTTCTTTTTACAATATAAAACTTAGTTGATTATAGACTAAAGTAGCCTGGGAAATAGAATCCATTTTATTTTTAAAATATAGAATTTTTAGATTCAAAATATCAAACTTGGATCTTTTTCTACTTAATTAAATCATACTCTTTTGCAATAATTTATTTTTCTTCTCATCATTTTGTGGAACTCACATATATTTTCGAAGAAAATGGTGAGTGTAAGTTTAAAGGTGAGATTTTTCCGGCTCCCCCCTCCCCATTAGAGACATTAATGAGTTTAAAATTGTGCTAATTAGGAGCTTGACTAATTAGGCTGCTATTTCTTCCTTTTTCAATTACAGACTACACGAAAAAAGCAATGTTTGTCCATTACAGACCATAGTAACTAGCTTAGGGTACCATTACAAACCATAGTAACTAGCTCAG